ATTGGCTCTTGATCATATGCTACCTCTTGAAATGGTTGAGCATCAACCATTTCCTTTTGGTATAGTGACTCTGTGTATTTCTTCCATCTTCTTTTGATGCTTTCTGCATCATCATCAATCTTTCTCCCTCCACCCCTCCAAATATGACTGTTTCTGTATTTGTCCTCTTTTATAAAACACCATCAAGGAGCTTTGGTAGCATAGTGGTTACAAATTGGGCAGCTAATCTCACAGTCAGCAGTTTAAAACTACCAGCTGTTCCTTGGGAGAAAGATGAGGCTCTCTACTCCCGTAAAGATTTACTGTCTCAGATAACCTGTACAGGGTCACTGTGAGTCGGAACCAACTCCACGGCACATAACAACAAATGCTACAGATTACAACCTTGGAAACTCTATGAAACAGTTCTACTCCGCCCACTAGAGTGACTATGAGTTGGATTTATGGAACCACAAGGGATTTGGGGAGTTTTGTTTTGTTTTTTGATTAGGGTGTGTTGGCCCTGACTTGAGATTAGAAGAAGCCAGTGAATTCTGATGACAATGTGGCTTGGGTAAGGGAAGAGATTACCTTGTTTGAGAATTCCTATGGAAGGAGGAGCCTAGGAGACAGATGGCACAGTGGGAGAGGCAGACTCACGCCTGAAGCCCAGAAGATCTGGAGTCGGGATCTCTTTGATTACGTATGCCTTAGCACCTTTTTCTCAGACTCCCTCCAAAGTCTCAATTTACTCTGTGGCTCTTCACACCCTAGGCTCTAGGACTATTTGGTAATATTTTCCATCATATCCATTGATCAGAGTCTTGCGCTAACAGGAAGCAATGCCTAGACTAATGTTTGAAGCAAGTCTCCTAGAGGAGACTTTGAAGTTAGGTTTTGAAGGAGGCAGAAATGGAGCCAGAGTGAGTAGGCTGAAGGCACAAGCCCTCTCCTCTCAACTTGGCCTTGTCCTACTTTGTCTCCAGGGTTTTGCAGCAGCACTACATATCCCAACTCCACCCTATATCCTGGGGCCCCCACTACAGACATTTCTTTCTGTTCTGACCTCTCTCAGGCTGAGCACCTAGTCCATGGAGCTGGGTGAAGGTCCACACTGTCACCTATCTCTCCTTGCCAGTCATGTACTTGTCTTTCTGTCTTCTTCATTCATCCACATTTGCAGCCAACTCCACTTTCCAATCACCTGACTCTAGACTTGTGTCTCCCTTGAGATGGTTTTTATCTTTGCAAACAGGGTATATTTGGAAGGTGGGTCTGGAGCCAGGCTACAGAAGGCACTAACTTCCAGGATGAGGAGCGTGGGTTTTCCCAACAGCCAGTGCTCAGTCCCTGAAAAGTACACATAGAGGAGGAGCCAGGAGAGGACCACTATCACAAACGATGAGGACTTTCCACAGGTAGAAGAGGTGAGGAAGATGAAGATTGGGAACCCGTTAGACCGGGACACCAACCATGGACCTCAGAACCACGAAGCTCACCTCAAGAAGCTGCTTGAGTACTGCCAACGTGGTGTGAAGGAAGGGGCCACACTGGTCTGTGGCGGGAGTCAAGTCCCTCGGCCAGGTCAGTTGGACATTCCTGATCAGCAGAGGTTAACTGGGGTCCAGTGCCTCTGGTTCTAATGAGATTCCTGAAGGCTGAGTACCTGCAGAGTCAGTTACCCAGACCTCAGGCCCCACTTAGAGATCTTAGATGAGATGGGGCATGGATATATGGACACCCAGCTGAACCAAATATGGGAATTACAAGGGAACATTACCAGAATGAAAGACCTTATTCAATACTGGTTTTCATGGTTATAATCCTAGGTTTTAATTTACTGTCCTAGAAATTGTTTTCTCCTGGATGCCTTAATCCTTCATTTCTTGATTTTTCCTCTCACCTCCATTGTCATTGCTTTTCAGCAATTGCTCTTTGCTGGAAACTCTCCATTTGCCTCTTAAATATTAGTATAGCCCATGATCTTCCCTTTCCTTGGTGCTATTCTCATGGAGGACAGTTTACCTAGATGATTTCATACCCTCCAGTGGCTAAGTTTTTCATAAATACCACATCCAGAACTTCTAACCACATATAGCCAACCACCCACCAACTGGACACCTCCACTGAGACTGTTCAAACTCAATGGGCAAATCCATCTCCTCAGCACCGTACCGCAATCCCACACTGTCCCCAGACACACAAACCTGTTTCTCTAGAATCCTGTATCTAGTCACATTACCAAAGCCAGGAGCCACATGAGTGAACTACTTGTGTTTCCTCCTTATGAGAATGTTCCATGGGAACAGACCCCGCCTCAATCTTTTCTTTATATACTCTGTGAAAAATTAACCTGATGAAGGAAGGAGGGCAAGAGAAAATGAATCTAGACTCCTCCCTTTCTGTGCCCCTCACCCCCATTTTCCTTGAGTGCCTGTGAAATCTAAAACTCTTTCTTGACTCCTTCCTCTTCCACATCCCTGCCACCATTACACTGACTCTCCAACATCCTACCTTGCCTACACCATTCCTGCAGTGTCCTGAGAGACCTCTTTAACCACTAATCCTCTAACTCTGCAGCTGCCAAAGGTCTAGTGTCATCTCTACTATTGTTACAACACTGCAACTCCCATCCTTCTATGACCTCAAGTTCAAACTCCTCAGCGTCATGTCCTAGCTCCTTTATGGTCTGATTCTAACTTGTTTGCCTTTGAACCATATTCCAACTGTATTTAATTCTCTGACATCCCCCTAATTTCATTCTCTGTGATTCTGAGGTTCCTCTGCTTAGCAAACCCTTCCTCAGTTTCTCTACCTGGTGAACTCCAAGTTTTCATTCAACTCAAATGATATGTCCTTGAAGAAGTCTTCCTTGATGCACTCAAGCACAATTCACACCCCTGTCCTAAATGCTCCCTGTTCCCTGGTGCCTCTGCATGATTTTTATAACCAATGTGATACTAATTCTCTATGCCCCTATTCCCCTAGGCTAAGGGCAGTGTCTCAGTCAGAGTGTCAGCAGGCTGTGGACAGTTTGTTTCCAGAGCTGATGGGAGGAGGGTATAAGGAAGGTGCTGTTTATAGAAGTGTGAACGGAGTTAAAGGGACCAATAGGGCCATGTAGCCCCAGACACTTGTAGTGCTGTGAGCTCTTCTCATATACCCTTGTGGAGTCCTGAGGAGGGAGTGACATCACTGGAATCCAGCAAGAGTTAGAGCTGTGGGATGGGGGCTGCTGTCTGTTGACCAAATCCACCTGGAAATCAGAAAATTCAGAAGGCCAGCGTGTAGAGTAGAGCAGAGAGAATGGAGGATGAATGGGGAGAGGCAGATACAACCACACGGTCCCTCCTGGCACCCAGTAGGCAGTAGTGAACAGTGAGTGGCCAATCCACATAAAACAGCATCTATTAGTATATAATTCATATCTTAAGCATAGTCATTTTTAAAATATAATTTTAAATGTATACAAAAGTAATAGAACTATACATTTAAAATTATATCTTAAAAATGACAGTATTTAAGATCTGAACTGTGTACTAAAAGTTATATTACTTTTAGGACTCCTAGCACTAGATCATAAGCACTGGACTGCTAACCACAAGGACATCATTCATACCCACTAACCACTCCTCAGAAGCACTCTACAGTAGCACTATGAGTCAGAATCTACTTAACGCCACTTAACACCAACATTACTTTTAAAGTTATGAGGGTTTGGTTTTTTTCCTCTGAAGATGAGAGAAAATTTCAAGTCTCTTGGTTTTCCCTAAGTCAGACAGAATTAAATCTCAGTCCAGCAAACTCTCAGGGGGTCTCTGAGCCCTGTGTCTCGATAAGAAGTTGTCACAGAAAGCATTTCTGTCCTTAAAGATGACTCTTCCCCACCAACACAGCCTATAGGGACTGCCAGGCAGGGCTGGAGAAGTTGGTGGACCTGAGTCCCAGAGCCTGAGCCTGTATCCTGGTAGAAGGAGAATACACCTCTTCATGGGGAGGATCAGCTTCTGGCCTCTATGACTTATGGGAAGAAAGGAGCAGTCCCTAAGGTCCTACCTGTGAGGACCAGCAACCTCTCCTATAGGCTGTGGTGCTGTGACTCATGGAGAGCTACCTGGGAGTCTGTACTAGCCAAGGAATTCAGATATTCATTCAGATTAAAACTCAGAAAAAGAGTTTAGGTCTTCTCATTTATAAGCTTTGGCACTGGGCCTGGGTTCAAGTTTCAGCTCTGTGAAATTTCGCCTTGTGTTCTTCAGCAGCATTTAGTTAAAAAAAAGTTGTGAGGATTACGTGAGACAGCAGGCCTGGGTATAAAAATCACAGGCTCACAGGTATGATGTAAGTATCGGGAGCATGTGGGTCCATCCATTAAGAGGGAGACTAGCTAGGGAGGGTCACACTCCACGTGCCCACAACTCTGTCTCTCTGCAGGCTTCTTCTTCGAGCCCACTGTGCTGACCAATGTGAAGGATGACATGTTCATAGCCAAGGAGGAATCCTTTGGACCCATCATGATCATCTCCCGGTTTGCCGATGGGTAGGGAGTTTGTTACATCTGTTAAGATTCCACAAACAAGTGGAACATTGGTGTGAGCTGTGGGAGGTGTGGTCCATGGTATGGCCAAGAGAAAAGAAAACTCAGAGTAGGGGGAGGTGGAGGGTGAGGTCTTCGATGCATTCATGAGGAAGTGCCCCCAATAACCTAGAGTCCCCCGACTCTGAGCAAAAGGCAATTTCCTTCCCTTCCTCTTATCTTGCCACTTCCTCAGTGGTTTTCTTTCACTGTTTCTCACAGAGGGTTGAGTACTAACCACCTCAGAACTTCCTTGTTGAAATAGCATTGATTATTTAATTCAGGGTCGTTGGGATAGCCAGAGTTTGCAGGATGACCAGTCTCCCTCCTGGCTGTGTGTGGGCCTCCGTTGGGACCACTGGGACAGGTCTCTCATTCAACCTCAGGGGCTCTCCATGTGTCTGGCCAGCATGGCAGATTACATGGCACCTGACTCCCCACAAATGAATGGTTCAAGAGTCCAGGTGGGGGCTGCAACACATACTCTCAGAAAGCTCAGAATGTCACTTCTACCATGTTCTACTGGCATGCCACCAAGTATGCCACCAAGGCCAGCTCTGCCTCCAAGGGAGTACACACAGACTGGCACTGTCCGTAGTAGAAGGAGCAAAGACTACGTGGCCACACCCTTTTCAACTGCCAAAATATTATTGAAATTATCATGATACGTTAACTTGATTAGAATACGACACTTTATTGCCGTCTACCAAATGAACAGCTTGGCAAGTGTTCACACCTCTGCTATCTGTGATGTGATGGCATCTCCTTGGACAGATGCCCAGCTCTGTGGCAGCCCTGAATCTTGTGCCATGCTATATGGGATGTGGAACCAACCAACTTCCTTCCCAGGCTGCATTTCCCAGTCAGGGGAGCAAGGACTGGCTCTGAATGATTTCAACCACTCTCTCCTCGATTTCAGTCTTAATTCTCTGTTCTTCCTTTCTTCTTCATAGTTACTCTAAACTCGACAGGTTTTCCTCTAACCCCAAACCTTTTTCCCTGTAGGTTCAGTTACTAGTCTTGTGTGACAGGAAGGTTGGAGTAGATTGGATTCACTTTTTGGGGGGAGGGTGGTGCTAGCCCTTTTGCTTCTCTAGTGGAATCCCAACACCTGTGTGGGGAGCTTAGTGTCCCGGGTCTGGGGCAGGAGCCTCTGAGCCTCCCTCATAGAGTTCTTCCTGGCTGTTCTCTGCAGTGACGTGGATGCTGTGTTGTCTCGTGCCAATGCTACAGAGTTTGGCCTGGCCTCTGGCGTTTTCACCAGGGATATCAACAAGGCCTTATATGTCAGTGACAAACTCCAGGCCGGCACAGTGTTCATCAACACGTACAACAAGACAGATGTGGCCGCTCCCTTTGGGGGTTTCAAGCAGTCTGGATTCGGCAAGGACTTAGGTAAGGTCGTCATACCTGCAAGCCTGTTTTCATTCATCCACTCATTCATTAAACTTCTGTTTAAGGCCACCCTGTCAGGCTGCCCGGGATGCTGTGTTGAACAAGACATCTGTCAGGTTGTTCACTTTTTAATGGGAGAGACAAACCATAGCCAAATCAGTGAACATGATGCTTCTAGAACGTGCTGTACAGAAAATCAAATAAATTAGTCAGGGAAAAGAGACTGGGAAGGTGAGTTCAGTAGTGCACAGAGGGGTCTATCCAGGAGGTGACAACTGAACTGTGCCCCAGGTGATGAAAGCATGTTAGCTGTGAAGCACAGGGGAAGGGGCATGACACAGGTCCCGAGAGGAGCAGAGGGGGCTGCCTTGTGTAGAGTATGTATGTTACGGAAGAGCAGGCTGACAGGGGCAGAGGAGGTTGGGAGTTTGAGGACGAGCTCACAGAAGGTCCTAAAAGCCACAGTCAGGGATTTGGGTGTCAGCCAAGGTGATGGGAAGCCTAGGGGAATGATTGACCCTAGGGACCAATGAGCAATATGAATGCCTCCAGTGACAAGAGGTCATAACAGCAGGGGATCCCACGATGCTTGGGCCGGAGTACACACCTGCATGGGGCTCTGTTTGAGTCCCTGCTTGTCCGGCTTTTCTCTGACTGAATCTTAACCCTGGCCTCTCTGTCCTGACAACATGCAAGCTGTCACACCTGCTAGGTCTGGTCACCCACAGCCCCAGTGGCAAAGCTTGGTAGAGGTATGAAGGCCTGGGGAGGGCCACATACTGCTGCTGAGAAGCCTTGGTGTCTCATTTCAGTCCTGTGTCAGCTCAGAAACCTCAAGAAGGTTCAGACTGAGGCTGAGGCCTGAGGCCACGGGAGTCATGACTCCCTCCAACTTTCAAACCCTGTGGAAAACCCCAAGGATGCTGTGAAATGAACAGACATCTAAACATCACACAGATACTTGTACACACACTGCCCATACACATCCACACACGTGTGTCACACAGACATGGCTCACATATATGTCCTAGCCATCCCACCTAGTTGTTGACACAGCCACATACATATACACCGGACACTGGCTCGCTTCTGTCTGCCACCTCCCTCCTCCTCTCAGACCATTTTTCTGGCATCCTCTGTGAGAATGCATAGGGACATGTTGTTGGTGCTGTTATGTGCTGTCAACTCGGTTTCCAAGGAATAGGTGGTGAGTGCAAACTGCCAGCCTGTGATTCCTGATCCTACAGTGCCATGGCTACAACTGCCCAGCCAGTCCTCTGTCACTCATGATTTGCCAAGTCCCCATGCTCCCTCGTCCCTCCAGACTCCTGTGTCCTCCAGAGGGCCAGCATCCTTCCTGGAACAGAGCCTACCTGGGACAGACTGAGACCCCAGAGGGAGCACGGTGGTTGGCAGTGCTGGATCATTCCTGGATCCAGACTCAACTAAAACTGGGGAAAAAAAGTTAGGGCTGGGAAGAATTATCAGGGATGGGGAGGAGTTACCAGAACTGCGGGAGGAGGTACCAGGACTGGAGGGAGGTGTGTTAGGGCCGTTGGGAAGTTTCAGAGGTGACGAGAAGTACCAGGGCTGGAGAGAGGTACCAGGGTTGGAGGGAGATAGATGCTAAGACTTGGGAGTAGGTGTCAGGGCTGATGTGATGCACTAGGGTTGGAGATGTCAGTGCTGGGACGGAGGTTCCAGAGCTGAGGTGGAGTTGCTATTCCTGTTGAGGGAGTTATCGAGGCTGAAGGAGCAGGTTCTAGGGTTGTGGAGAAGGTTGTGAGACGTTGGGAGTGGTGCCGTTGGTTGTGGGGGGTGAGGGGTTAGGTGCCAGAAGTGGGGGTAAGTTTCAGGATTAGAAGGGAAGTTCCAGAGCTGATATGAGGACAGGTTCTAGCAGTGATGGGGAGGTACCAGGGCTAAGGGCAATGTGCCAGGGAGCAGGAGAAGGTATCAGGGATGGAGGGAAGATTCTAGGACTGTGGGAAGTTGCCAGGGCTGGGGAAAGCTGAGGTATCAGGACTGTTAGGGAGGTTCCAGAATTAAGGGGGAGGTGCCCCTGGTGGGGGCTAGATGTCAGATGGGAGCGGTATACTATGGTTGAATGTAGATGCCCACGTAGGTGCCAGGGTTGGGAAAGAGGTTCCAGCAGTGAGAGGAAGGAGAGGGAGACATATCAAGGCTGGGGGGTGGGTGCCAGGCAGCCCATGGTCCCAGCCATTTGCCCCCTTACTTAGTGTCGGAACTGAGATACCAGCTGAGTCCTGGGGCCTCAGAACCCTGTGCAGGTATTTTTTACAGTCATAACTTGAATGAAACTAGCTGGCAGGTAGCCAGGGGCAGAGGCTGAAAGAGAGAAAATCATGCTGGCCAGGGCATTAAGAGGACACCAGGCCTCTCCACTTCCCCTGTCTTTGATGGGAAGTCCCCATCTGTAAGGAGTTGCTTGGGGCTAGGGAAATGTCTGGGTTGGTTGCATGGTTGGTGGCCTGGCTCCACAATTTATTTACAGTGATGACCAGGCAAGACCACCCTGAACCTCCAGTTCTGACCTATAAGTGGGAATGAATGAAGACAAGGATCCAATGATGTGATCTGTGTGCAGCACTCAGAAGTTGGCATATATAGTGGGTGTGCTTTCACAGTGGTGGTCTCAACAGTGTATGGTGTCTTGCAGGAGAGGCGGCCCTCAATGAATACTTGAGAATCAAGACAATCACCTTTGAGTACTGAAGAATGATCTCCGTATGAGGAAACAGCTTTGCCTCAACGACTCGGCTGGCTCTTGCTCCTCCTTCCCAGTCTGACCTGCCTTCTCTAGGGAAAAGTCTGGGACAATTCCTGGTAGCCAGATTGCCCTCTCTCCCATACCCGGGTACCCATACTGTCCCTGAGGCACACCAGAACCTCCTGCGTCCACACCATTCCATCTTCCCATCATGGGATACTCTCACATCCTGCCAAAAGCCACCCAACAGAGAAATGACCCAGATTAGTGAGTGTGCTGGCCAAGACAGCTTGTATCTGTCTCTCCTTCAGTCCACAGGGCCCGTAGAATCCAAGCTTACCAATGATGTTGCACAGCCTTGGATAGCCAGGCTTCCTGGGGAGACACAGAGTCGGAAATGACTTGTGGCGGTGACTCAGGCATCTTGGATGATGCTGGGGTGCAAGGGTCTGTAGGGGAGAAGTTGTGAAACTTCAAGGGGAAAGAAGCAGGAAGGGACTGGGCAGGGAAAGTCTTTGTGGGGAAGCACTTCACAACCTTTGACCTTATGAAGCCCTCCAGCAAGGGAGGCCCTTTGGAGTTATACCCATGGGCAGAATCATCAGATCCTGAGCTGCTGCCGGAGGCCACAAAGCCAAAGCACGACAACCAGAGGCTCTCAGAGAGCTGCACTCTCACAGCTGGGCAGGAACTCCTCCCAAGGGGTTCCCTGGCACCAGGAAGCAAGAAGGGGTGAAGATTTGCCTAGGAGGCCTTACACTCTCAGGAGATCCCTGTCCAAGGCTAAGCAGGACAAGGGCAGAGCCAAAGACATGCCATTCTCTAAAATCGGCATCCACTTTGGGCCACAAAAGTGGGGACAGATAAAGTTCAGTGTGCCCACCACAGTCTGACTATACCAACCACAGGCTCCCTCTAAATCAGAGTCCCGGTGGGCCCTGAGTTCTGCCACTTCCATGGGGTCCATGCTTCAAATTGTGCCTCTATCGCTGGCCAGGTGTCTTCTGTGCTGCCCCATGCATTCCCTCTGATGAAGTGTCTTCCCCAGTGCGGATTTCTCTGCTCCTTCCTGTGTCCTTCCACCCTTCCTGTGGTACCCCTGCCTCATGGGTCCTCTTACTCCCTGCAGTCCAAGTCATCTGCTGACGCCTCAGTTTCCCCACACAGTTTTCCTGCAGTCCAGGGTCCCTCTGTTTGGCTCTGCTGTCCCCCTTCTCACAGCTCCCTTGAAAGCTCTTCTCCTCTCCCATATCCCAAGACTGCTTCTACCACCTCCTTTCCTAGAGAATCCATCATCCTCTCCACATAGCAAATCCTATCCTTCCGGATTCAACCTCCTTGAGGATGGTTCTTTTATATCTTCACCTAATGAGTGAAGATAATAGCTAATAGCAAACAATAGCTTGTTGAGTACTAACCTCATACCAGGAAGGGTTCTAAGTCCTCTACATGTATTTATTTCATTCAATTGTTTCATGAGTCCAATGAGAAAGGAACAACTTTGATCTCCAATTTGGAAATGGGAAATTTGAGGCAAAGAGAAGTTCAAGTAGGCAAGATCACATAGCTGGTGTGAAATTCCTGCAATCCTGTTTCCCTGCCTTCCTAAACTATGAGGACTTTGAAGCCCCCACTGCCCACAAAGTAACTGCTCCCTCTTCAGAGTTCCCCACTATTTCGGGGTCCCCAGGACAACCTCTGTTGAGTCCTGAGAAATGGGCCCACTGCTTTCCTCCTCTCTACAGCTACCCCATGGGCACCCCACTCCATCCCTACAATTGCAGCTGCCTCAGAACTCTTCCTCCCAAATGTGAAGTGGATCATTCTCTAGATGCTCCATAGACAGCTGTGACCAGGCTGCAAATTTTAAGAAGAGTTTCTTAAGAGTCCAGGAAAAACTTCCAACTGGTATTACATGTGACTAGTCTCAGAGCTCTGAGACCCAGGATCACTTCCAGGTCCCAAAGAAGACAATTCTTCTGCCAATTTCTTCTCCAGCCTCCACATGACAGGCATCAGCTCCCAGCACCACCGTGTGTACTTGTAGCCTGGTAGTGGTTGTGGTTATGTGCCGTCAAATCCATTCCAACTCACAGCCACCCTATACAGGGTTTCCAAGGCTGTAGATCTTTATGGGAGCAGAAAGCCTCATCTTTCTCCCATGGAGCCGCTGGTAGATTTGAACTGCTAACCTTGCAGTCAGCAGCCCATTGCATAACCACTATACTACCAGGACTTCTAATTCTAGCATTCTCAGTTTCAATTCTTGTTGCCCACAGAAGAAAAAATAAAAAGCAAACACAAACATTCTTCTCTTCACCTTAGGACCTCCATTTTCAATCTCTGATTGACTACCATGATGACAGATGATGGAGAAGGCCACCTTTGATAGGAAACCTTTCCCCTATCTGTAGAAGGATCAACTTGCCTTAAGCAGTGCAGTCCTATCAGGACATGCCAGTTCAATGTCTGCCCATTTCCCTAAGGTCCAGCCCTCAGAGCAGGGCACCACCGTAGCAGAATGAGTTAAGTTGGCTGACCCTAGGCCAGTTCTTTTTCATGGTGCTCCATGAAAACACAAGTGGAGAGGCTGCCAAAGATCTTTGAGTGTCTGTCCTGGCTTCCCAGCAACCAAGTGTTTGTGACAAAAAAAAAAAAGCAGATATAAAATAAGTTCATATGCAAGGCCATCTAAACCCAAAAGCAATTTTCTCCCTCTCTTCAGACATGCACAGAGTATGGGCACCCATTACAACTGAACTTGGTGCAAAACTGGGCTCCTGACTTTCTCTCTTCTCCCCACTCAAGAATTCATGCAAATACAATTACAAAGTGAGGAGCACAACACTACTAGTTATCTCTCAATTTTCCTTTATTTGTCCCCTTTTTTCTTAAATCATGTTGTTAGGTGCTGTTGAATCAACTTCTACTCATCGCAACCCCATGTGGCATGGTAGAACTGCCCTATAGGGTTTTCTTTACTGTTATCTTTAAGAAAGCAGATTACCAGGTCCATTTTCCATGGAGCAGCTGGGTGGGTTCCAATCACTAACCTTTCAGTGAGTGCTTACCCATTATACCCCCAGGGTGTCTTTCTGAAGACATGGTGGTGGTGGTTATGTACCATAGAGTCGGTTCCAACTCATAGCAACCCTGCATAGGGTTTCCGAGGTTGTAAATCTTTACAGGAGCAGAAAATCTCATCTTTCTCCTGCAGAACCGCTGGTGGTTTCAAACTGTTGACCTGGAGATTAGCAGCCCAATTCGTAACCACTATGTTACCAGAGCTCCTCTTAAAAACCCCTCAAATTTTACCTGGGCATTAAATTTCCCAGCCAATTTTGCAGTTGGTATGGTCGTGTGACCAAGTCAGTGGGAGTGTGTGGGAGGGACATGGGCAACTTCTGAGACATGTTCTTTAAAGGAGAGATCACACTGTCACCCTCTACTTTTTTGTCCCCTTGGAATCAAACCTAATGGACCTAGGGGGAGACTTTGCTAACCATGCAGACAAGAGAACACACAAGGCTAGTGCACAAAGCGGAAGCTGCATCCCCCACATCATGGAATTGTATAGCAACCTCTCCCCCAGAAAAATAAACTTGTATCACTGTCTTAATTTTTAAATGCATTTATATCTCACCAGGCTAACAAAAGAGTTTAAAGCACTTTATAAATGAAATTACAATATGTATGAAGTGAACAGGGACAAAGAAGAATAAGGTAAAAAGATTAACAGTGGACTGGTACCTAAACTGCGTGTTTTGAAATTTTATACGCTTCTAAAATTGGCTCACAACTTAGTTCTAGCAGCCAAGAGTGAGAGAGAAATCTGATCTGTGACCTACTTAATAGTGTCAATTAGTAGAAGCAAACCAGTGTTTCCGGAGGACAGCTTCCTAGTAGACAGAGAAATTTGCTTTAGGAGTCCGTGTCAAAACATTTTATGTTTAGTAGGGTAATGCCTACTGTCTTACACTTTTGTTCAGTGCCATTTAGTCTGTTCCAGCTCATAGGGGCCCTGTTTAGGGTTTCTGAGGAGCAGCTGGTGGGTTTGAACTGCCAACTTTACGGTCAGCAGTTCAGTGCTTATCCTATAGCACCTCTTCATAACACAATGGGCATCTGCTGCTTACAGCTGTTTCTTGTGACTTACCTCCAGTGCAGGCCGATCACACAGTAAACCACACTCAGTACAAACTGTTGATATAGGTATGAGAGGCCTGTAACACGCTGCAAATCTGATTTAACCCAAATGTGATGAGACAAGAAAACAAAATGTATCGGAAGTCCTTTAGTCGGAGTTCTTCCATTTTTTCAGAAGAAATACCTTAACACGGTAAAACTGAGATTGGTAAGAATGCTTAGGACCAAAAGATGCTTACAGAACTGCTCTACATAAGGAAAAGAAGTGTGCGGGGGGAGTGAGTTGGGAAAGGGTGGGATTTGGCAGGGCTGGCGCTATGGGAGAAAGAGAAGAGAGAATGTCAGGGGTTAAGTGTTCCAGGTCTCCTTGCTTGAAGAATGTATAGAATGTTGACAGTCGCCATGGCTGAGGGAAAGATAACTCGGGAGAATCTTATATCATCACTTAGATGTTCTTCCCTGGAAACGACACATTACTTATGCTTTCAACCAACTAGCCCAGTCTAGCCACATAGCCCTACCTAAACAGAGGGAGCTGAGAAATGTAGTCTTCCACGTGCCTAGGAGAGAGAACAGAGTATCAGTGAGCAGCAATATGATTGTCCTCAAAAAGTGGTCTCAGATCCGAGAAGTTGTTTGTTTTTTCTTTAATTATTATGAAACAGATGGTTTCCATACCCATGGTGTACTCTGGAGCATAGCAAATGATGGAAAGCTTTCTGATCCCTTCTACAATGCAATAAAATTACATCACGACTGCTAAACATCACAAAGATAATACAAAACCAAGACGATAGATCAAATATGTAAATGGCAAGGTAATGAACCAGAGGTGCATTCTCATTAAGATGAGGAAGAT